CCGCCGCTCCAAGGCGCTCGGCCGCCGGCGCCTCACGCCTCCACAGCGGCGTCCCGGCCGAGCGACGAGGCGCACGGAGCGCGCGGGAGAGGCCTGAGGGCCGAGAGGGCCGGAGGACGGTGCTCTTCGGGCTTCCGCCTCCGCCAGAGGAGCTGCGCGACTCCGGGCAGCGAGCGGACGCCTGGCGGGGTGCACACGGCTCCACGATCCGGCCGACTGACGCGCTCGCTCCGACCGGCGCTCGGGATCTGAGGGAAAGGGCGGCGGGGGCGGGGCCTGTGCGTCAGCGAAAACCCGGTCGGCGCGCCGCAGCGCGGTGACGTGGGGGCCCGAGGCCCCGCCTCCGGCCTGCAGGCACCCAGCTGGGGGCGGGGCCGCGCTGGGGGCGGGGCGGGGCGGGGCGGGGCGAGTCCCGAGGTTGCGGTCACCGTAGCCTAGTCACTCTCCGGCCGGCGGTTCCCTGGGTGGAGCTGCTGTGGCCGGTCCGCGGAGGCGACGCGTCTATTTTTAACCCTATTGTCCGCCCTCAGCCTCCCTCGCCAGCCCAGTTCTCACGCTTCGTCCCCCAGCTCCGTTGCTGTACCTTCCCCGCGGGACGAGCAGGCACGGCCGGGAGGAGGCTGGCCCGGTTCCGGCTGTCGCCGCAGCTCCGCCCGCCACCGCCCAAGGTCGCGGTTCGCTGCTGGCTCTGATCTACGACCGCCCGCCAGCCAGCCCCAGTCCCGCGCCGCCGTTCTGAACTGTTAGGCCAGCCTCTAGAAAAACCCTGGAAATTGACTATTCCAGGGAAGCACGGAGAATCGGGACAGGACTGAAGAAATGGGACAAGGGGACCAACAGGCTGGACCCCAGGCAAGGGCAAGGTGCTGGATACCTGCCCAGACTATGAACGGAAACACTTATGCTTGCCTCTTCACGGGTTCACGGGCACAAATGTCGTTTCTACCGATCTAAAGAATACATACACAAATGGTTAGGGCTACCTTAGCTACAACTAGAATGTAGTTAAGGCCTTTCCCCTAGGTACCATTACAGTTAGCCTTGGCTGGAGCACAGGAACCTTATTTCTAGGTCATACGTCGGGTGATTCGCGTTTTTGAGATTGCGGGAGGAGTGTGGGGGAGGGGTGCTGCTGTCCCAATGCTCCAAATCAAACAGCTCTCAGTACAGCAAGTGAAGTACCTGGGACATAATGTGTTTAAAAAACATATTTCGGTGTCATACTGCTAAGATAAGTAACTTATTTGAGATTTAGTCTGGGTCATTGGTTCTAGGATATTTGGAACTTATTTCCGCAAACTAGTAAATAGTAAAAATTACTGCTATCATTTACCATCCGGTTTCACCGTCACATGTTTTTCATTCGGGGTCTCCTTAATTTATCACAGTAATTTCTTGAGAAAAATGGCCTGTCTATTTGTCGGATAGGTAGTCATGATAAAGGATGCTTGCCTGGAGCAGTAGAGGGTAGAAAGGCTAATGGAAATCATACTTACTGAGGATAAAAATAACAAGAGAATTTAAAAAAGAGAGAGAGAACAACTTATTGTCTGTCTCCCTTGACTCTCCTGTTTCAAAAACGAGTTTCACAAGATTCTTATCTTGTCCAATTTAAACAACAACAAAGCCATTTTAAAATCAAGCTGTTGATGCCTACTCATCTGAAAGCCTTAATCAATAATCAGCTTAGACTTTCTGTCTTCAAAATCAAGAATCTTCTATTTTATTTATAGTGAATCATTTTTGGATTAAGGATTGCTTAATGCTAAAAAACAAAATTGATCAATATTATAACTTAAAATTGACAAGTAATACAAAATCTGGTAATTTAAGTAAAACCTGCGTATTGTCTATGTGTACTTATGCCTTTCAGGTGTTTACAGGGTAACATTGATGGGTAAATGAACAGTCAGGTAAACTAAAATTCCTTGCAGTATAATGAGACTTTAAAGAAAAAAAAAAGCCTCAGCTCTAGCAGTCTCTACTAGAAGCTCCACTGCCTGTTCTGATATGCCAATTAAAGAGACAGAGTCGCATTGTGGCCCTGACTGGCCTGGAACTTGCTTTATAGAGAAGGCTAGCCTTGAATTCACAGACATCTGTCTGCTTCTGCTTAGTACTGGTACCAAAGCAGGCAACACCAGAGTGTGTTAAGGAACGAATATCACACACAAAGATTTAGAGATCAAGAGAGTGAATCAGTACAGCTTTGTTGGGAAAATATATAGATCCAGTAACCCCAAG